AAACTATATGTCGAATTATCAGCAACATTACTAACCAGTTGTTATAACAGTGCCACAAGACGCCTATAAAAAGAATGATGGGTAGAGATTTGATCAGCAGGGTGATACGACAAGGCTAGGCAGAAATGCAGAGACCACTACCAAGACTGGACATGAGGGATGATCCTGTAGGATGGGGAGTAGCAAAAGTAACTCTCAGACCACCTACCCAGAATGCCCAGCACCCATGGAAATAGAATATCCCTATGGGAAAGGTGTTTGTCAGGGACATAACTCTATATTTATGGAATCCTGGAACAGTTCAAAGTACATAACAAAACACACCACACTGTGAGTTTAGTGTGTGAATGATGTTCAAATATTTGTGAAAAGAGTTTAAGACAACATGCAAAATGGGTAACATTTCTAGCAGAGTGGATTAGTATTTGGTTGTAGCTGAATTTCAAACAGAATTCCAGGTAGGCCTTATGATGGATGGCGCAAGTGATTCTTGTGGTTGAAGCAAATGTAATACCCCTATACAACAATATCTCAAGGTCTAACTCTTACTCTTGTAAGATAGTTGGATTTACTGAGTAAAAAACAGATTTGAGATTTACATTTACAAGGTTTAGTGGCATCATCAATGGTCTTGAATTGGTGCATGTGTAAATTATAATCATTAACAACATCATCACTAGGGTGACTATAATCATGGATCAGACAAATGTCGTTAGAATTTGTTCATTTTTGGGGGGGACGGCACCCACGGCACTGACAAAAGTGGGCTGGTGTAGGGATAAATACACAACAGCCACACTCATATCAGATAAAGCTTTTTTCAACTTGATTTTTCGTTGACAAATAGTTGAATGGTAATTCTTTGGATAAGTTGGTTTTTAATTAAGGCTAGTAATGGTAACATGAAAGCCTTCTCTGATGCCTGGCAGTCAAAATTCAGCATTACGGTTGAAGTTCAGACTTCCAAATCTGATAATTTGCTGCTGAACTTGTTTTATTTAACCAGGCCAGTAGGTTATACTGCCCATGCTATAGAAGGAACTTCACATATGCTGGTACATTAATGTGGCAAAGTGGTTCAAATATCGCACATACATATTCATCTGTGTTACACTTTGTGTTATTTTATCATCTGCAGTTTTGAGGTAATTAATGAGCGGCCAATACGATCATCTTCATGCATACTTCATTGGTCGTCTCTTTATGACCTCCTAGTAAAAGTTTATATGCTATAGTCAATCTATCTAGGAATACTCACAAACATGCTTGTTCTATTTCAGGCTATACACGTATAATCCTAAATTTGATTTCATTTTGGTACATGAGAACGGACTATGTTACAACATCACGTTGTTATACGCTGAGTATATTCCTTGATGCATTTGATGGACCAGCTGCTCGTATGATGGGACAAGGTGAGTTCATTGTATATCAAACACAGTATAGCTTCCTTTGTTGCTCAAATTCACAAATTTGCATCACGCAGTTATCATATTCAGACCCGGATGTCATTTTGTCTACTAGCTCCAAGATATTTTATTTAGATAAAACAGCCGCCGGACATGTTGTTATTATTCATTGTCCCCAATTCCAAATTCTACACACAACCAAAGCCTGGTTATTATGGTATTACATAAAACAGTGAGAAGTGAAAGCAAACCATATCATTTGAAGATACATAACTCAATATTATTTTTTGAAAGTTATATAGATAGAAAATATCCTTCCAAATATTAATTACACAGCAGGCAGAATTGTTTTATAATTTTTGTTAAAACTGAAAAGCTTGTGCTGTGGCTTGATCAATGTATTTTTTGTTTTGCTTCAGAGACAAAATTTGGAGCTTTGTTAGACCAGCTGATAGATCGTACATCCACCATGTGTTTGATGGTGGGCTTGTCGTATTTCTATCCAAAACAGATGTTTATTTTTCAGATATTAATGACTATTGACATTGTTACTCACTGGATAAATTGGCATAGGTGAGTAAATAGGTCAGATATTGTACCAATCTATCTAATTATATTAATATAACAAGTATTATACACTGTGTCCAATAATTTTTTGGAAATCCGTTCTAGTTTAGGAAAATCATTTATCATATCATTTAGATATTAATAAATTAAATATGAATATTTATTAAATACATATTTATATATTGATGTGATTCTTTTGCAAACAAGAACATATTAATGTATAAACCGTCACATACCAATGAGAATTAAAGCCTGACCACATGTTCAGTTTGGGGTAATTTTAGTTGAGATTATCAGAACAATGGTTATTGTATTGTATTGTATTACAGTTAATTCGGTATGTAAAAACTTGGGAAGCCAGCTTTCTTTCAGTCAGTTTTATTGAAAGCTTGATCCAAGTGCAAATAATTGTTGACATATTTGGTGTTTCTGTGGAATGTTGATTTGCTTTGCTATGCTAAAATGATTAGGAAATGAAATGAAAATAAAATGAATGAAGAAAATCCAAGAGTGAATGGCCAGGATTCCCAGGATGAAAACATGTTCGTCAATGGAACCTCGCCACTGCAAGCCAGATATGATAATACAATCGTCATGACGTGTGTGGCCGGATAAAATTGGTTTTACTTATGGTGTCTGCAAACAACCAATCCCAGCACGAGCCTAGTTCCCGACACACATACCCAGTTGGTTTCAGACTGTTACACTGGTTCAATGATGTCTTACCTGACGCTGATTGAATTGGCAGAATATTGTTCAATGGTTAAAGCTGTTATTGGTGGCTATCCATCACTTTCAGCATCATTGCGACCTCACCCAGCTGTATGTCTAGTTGGTGCCTTTTGGTAATTCAACAAGCGGTCAGGTTGTGGTGTCTTAGTAAATGTAAAGAGTAAAGACGCCCAAGCAACTGGAGAGTCACCTCAGTATTTCTTGATACAAATGATGGATTTGAGGCAGAAAGTATTATTTGCCGCACGCAAATATGAACTTGCTATTCAGTATGAACCAAAACAAGTTGAAATCATGTTTTGCATGTTGACTGGTTAGAATATCGATAGTGATGTTCCGACTGGAGATGAAGACATATCTCAAAGATATCATGATTACTGATGAAGATTACTCAATGAAATAGTGAAGATTACTCAATGAATATTACTCAATGAAATAGTCAATATTACTCAATGAATATTACTCAATGACATAGCGAAGATTACTTAATGAAGATTGCTCAACGAAATAGTGAATAGTGAAAAAGAAAGTCGTTGTAAATTTGCATCTAGTTGAAGCAATAAAACTGTATAAACAGTATCGATAGTACTGCTGAGGAAATAACGAAGGACATTGAACATGTAAATAATGAAAATCAGAAACCAAAAGACAATTCATTATTGACAGAACTCAAGTAGGTACGTGCCGGGTTGGGCACTATGGAGGATTTGTGAGCAGAGGTAGCATGATTGACAAACCCAGAAGAGGACCAAAAAGGAGTGGTTGTAGTAATTAAGGAAGGAAAGGATAGGTGCAAGCACTGTTATAAATGTGGAAGTCGTGAACAATATTTATACTAAACGACCTAGCAGACAAGATAAACCATCGGGAAACGAGTATAAATGATGCTAATGATTTGTTTTCCAATAGTCCTGTGAGAGTTTGCTATCTTCTTATGTATGTTCGTTCATATATTCGTGTCTGACCAGAGGCATTTCGCAGACATACATCTACCATTTCAGTTAAATGTGCATAAATGGTAGTCATTTTAGGGGTATGAATCGTGACACATCTATTATACAATTTTGTGTTGCCCTCAAATCTTCACCTAAATTCACCCATTAGTAGTTGTATGTGAATTGTGTTTCTTATTATTTACAGTCCGAGAGTACGGGTAATTTATAGTCATAAGTTATTGGACCCAGCTAGCAATCCAATACTACATATGTATTTTACATCAAGAGTAAGTGTTATTCTACTAAGATGATTATATACTAGTAGTTAACGCATTGTTTGTTGATTTAAAGTGCAGAGTATGCTGTGTATTTTTGTTCACGCAGATGCTTGTTCTAAAATTGCCTAATTGACAATATAGACCCTAAATAGGTATTAGAAGTGCACATTGAAATTTCGTTTAAATAAGATAAATACAATGTGTTTTACACGAGTCGTGTATGTTAATTCTCTTTTGACAGTAGATGAGACCTGCTGCTCAATTTAGCCTTTCTTATGCCGCTTATCAAGATGCAAATACTACAAATTTACGCATATTATATCGCATATTGGATATCTTTAATATCCAACTCAATCGATTCAAGAGAGAAAATTACAAACCAGATGGGATCTGTAATTTTTAATTCATGCAACCACTTAAGAAGTACATGACACTGGTGAATATTCTTTGCATATACACGCCTATGCACTTAGGATAAGAGTCGATCTATTTAATTCACAAGAAACTCCCTACAATGGCTCCAGGACCCTATTTTACCAATTAGTCAATAGTGCGGCGATAGTTTAAGGCTGATGTAGGTATAGGCTATATGCCAATCTTAGTGCATAATGGCAGCTTCGTGAGACTCGGAGCCCACAATTATATGTTTGCCTGTTTTAGATGTTAGTTACAAACTGTTGACAAACGATGTACGTTGTGCAGTTCTCAAGAAAACAGTGTGCATAGATTTTCCTGCAGTGTTTTTGTTTTCTCATGTAATAATTTCACAAGGCCTAGATAATTGTGGAGGCCCTGTTTGACACACTGTTACAAGAGAACACAATAAAGCAAAATCCAAACAGGGAGAAAAAACAAACTAGTAGTTATAAATAGTTATTAAAGTTTGAACAACTGTAAAACTCAAATTGTAAAACAGAATTAGAAATTTGTTTCTGTTTACTTTTCTGGTAAAGCTAAACAAATGAACAGATTCAAGCCAAGACTGTCTACATGTAAATATTGAAAATAAATTGTCTGAATACTGCATGTGTCCATGAACCTATTAAAACTTGAGTATGTTTTGACAATATTTTTTCCAGCCTTTTGTGGATTGTATGTGTATCGGAAATGAGATCTTCTATATATCTCTCTATTTATTGTACTTCACAGAAGGACCAAAAAGTAAGTCATATTTGTATAGAATGTATATACAATACATGTGAATATGAAACATATCAATAATATATTAATATATATTTTTATACAACTGTCACCGTAAAACCACAGGTTACAGCGTGCCGTAATTTTGCGGTATTTTACGGGTAATTTCATCCTACCATATAAGGAAATGCGAATTCCAAATATGGAATGATTATGCGCGTAAGCATATTGCTGCCCCAGGGTTTGATCGGACTCCACACAAAACAGTTTGCACTCAGACAGTTCGCTGTCGCATCGACCCCCGCTACGCGTCGGTCGATACTTCCACTGTACTGTCTTCGTGCATTGTAATAATCTCATATACATATATATATATATATATATATATATATATATATATATATATATATATATATATATATATATATATATATATATATATATATATATATATATATATA